GATCATGAAAATGAAGGAAGACAGGGCAAATCGCGTCTCGCGAGTTCGGGAACAAAACAGAGACCGCGAGAGCAGCAAACTCGAGTTCGAGCGCGCAGCGGAGACGAGACAGTTGGCCACGAGTGGTGAGAGCTGGAGATGGGCCGGCCTATATGCGGCCATGAAGCACAGTGGAGAGGGGAGACGGAGATGTCGGGCTGTTGAGTGGTGGCCGTGGGCTTCTTGCATATTTAGGGGATTTCTCCGGTTGGGCAGCGACCAGCCACCGTCTTTTTACAGGACGAAAGGGTACTGTCGATTGTCGGTGAGGTGAGTCGATGCGTGTTGCCAGTCGCTCCCCAGCTGGCGATGGGGCTATCGAACTGTCGGCTTGCGTTTGCACGCTGGTATAATTCTTCTGGCGGCGTTGAACAAAGGCGTCTGATGATGCCTGTTCGCAGCGTGGCTGTAGCGGGGCGTACGAAGACTACAGGAGTGGCTGCCACTCCAGGGGAGCAAGACTGACTGGCGTCGAGACGACTCCAGCGCCTGAAGTCCGAACTGACTGCCTGTTGCCTGTGCCTCCTCGCGAAGCGCTCTGTGTTCAGCGTCCTGAACCCTAAGTATGGCCATTTCTATCCTGGCCTGGTGTCAGAAAGGTCAGCAAGGTTGCTTGGTGCCCAAGAGCAGTGGTGACCCTCGTCCGATGACCATGATCATGACCGTGTGCTGTGGGAGAGAGTATGCGCTCTCCCATCACAGTCACAAACAAAACAACACGAGACAGATCTTGAGACCTTCCCCATGTGGATGATTCACAAGCCTCGTCTGGCCAGTGAGGTCACCCATCCGCCATCAGACGAGACGGACAGACGCCTGGAGCGCCGTCAGGGCAGTATAATAGCGGATTGGCGACTGGGGATGAGCAATTGCCCATGACGAGGCGCGCGGGGGGGCAGGAGAGACAGTGGCTGATGTGACCAAGCGGTGCTATAGCTTGGGTTCCAGCAGGGCAGGGCAGGGCAGAGAGCACCATCAGGTAGCAACGCTGAAAGAGGCCATCGATGCCCAACCTGGAACTGTCGCTTTGGGCGTCAGGGGAACCTGCGTAGGTAGGCAGCAAGAAAGAGAGGCGGAGAGCCAGAGGGCCAGAAAGCCAGAGACAGCCAAACGGTGGAGGAGCAAGAGTCTCAAGGATGGCGCTATGCCCAGAGAAGAAAGCGGTCGAGCCCTGTCTAAACGGGCCCTAATCGTGATTCGCTACCCACACAGGCCGGACAATTGCTTTTCCCCCACCAACAAACCTAATGAGGGCTGTCAGGGCGGAGTCTTGCTCTTCACCGTCTCTTCCCCCCCCCCGGCTCGCCAACGTCTATTCCAGCTTCCATTTGTTCGCCGTCATCGCTCACCCGCTGCCATTCGTCTTCGATCGATCTCGTCCCATCCCCATCCCGACCAGCCCCCCCTCCCGCTTGGCAGCAGCGCCTTGGCCCGTTTCTATTTTCTCCCCGGGAGCCCTGGACCGACTGTACTGGAGCTGGGGCTGGAGCTGGAGCTGATGCCTCCTGAGTACAACCTAGGCTTCCTGAGTTGAAGCCCTGTTCTTCGGTACCTTCGCCATTCGCTTGTTGCCGTCAATGGGGCCATGGTCCCTGTCTTTGATCCTGTCGTCCCGTCCCCCCGTTCGTTGCGCGAGTACGCCCAGACAGAGGAGACGACAGAGACAGGGACAGGAGAACGATCCATCATGACGGTCCTCTGTGACCTCATTCGCCGAAATCACCATCTTGTTGCCCAGTGACTCTTCCCACGGACACGAGTGCCGCGTCAGGCACCACGAAAAGGGCAGCCGTAGGCTGTGATGTCTGTTGGTCTGGGCTGTCAACAATCCGACTGACCGCATGTCGCTCTTGTTTCTCCTCTTCGCCCTGAAGGTGACGCCGGAGCATCTATGCCTTTACCAACGCCC